GTTTATTATTTTTGTGCGACAAATTTCTTAATATAATTTACATCATTTTATTAGGATATTTTTACAGATGGTATGATACTATGATGTCAAAAAAATTCGAATCGTTATGCAAAATATAATAAATTAACATTGAATATGGTTCAAATTCGAATGATTTTTTTCCTTTTTAATCCATGTTTTAAAAAATGAAAGAAGAAATTAATAAAAAAATAAATTAACATTGAATAAGGTTCGACTTCGATTTTTTTTTTTTTTTTGCCCTTTTTAATCCACGTTTCAGCGGTCCTTGGGTTTTCTGATAAGTGTACACTTTTTTTTTACACTTCCCTCACATGGTGGGTCTCGTGATTATTTTATTTATAACGGGTCCCACCCATGTTGTGAGAGGAGTGTCAAAAATGATGTACACCATAGTGTACTTATAGCATGGTTCAGGTTTTCTTGGCTTTTCTAGGTGCAATTTTCGTCATTGTCCTTCCTGTGGTACATGCATATTTTGCTGTTTTTTCCGCTCTAAGCCTTAGGACACAAGACTTCCTAAATCAATGATCTTGTGCAAGCTCTTCAGTTGCAAAAGTTTGTTATTATTATTATTATTATTATTTTGAAATGGAAAAGTTTGTTATTTTAAGCATGGTTTATAAACAAAAAAAAACCCTTAGGACAGTAGCAATCGTGAACGGAAGACACAATCATATGTTCCGAGTTGTGTACAGACTGGGACGGATTACAGTGGGGGTAGTGGGGTCACCTATCCTCACAGTAAATTTGACAATTTAATATTTTGTCCAAAAATTTTTCAAAATTTTCAAAAAGGATCTTGTAATTTTTAATTTTTGCCCGGGCAAATATTATCTTCTAGCTCCGCCACTGCAGTACAAATTATCAGTTTGAAAAATGCATTAAAAAACCTTCAGGTGGCTTGTAAATCAAGCTTGAGAAGAATATCCATACCAAAACAAAAGAACTCTCTTTGGTGTCTCCTTTTTATTGGCCACAAATCTTTCTAAACTTCTGAAGACAATTTTGAACCCATAAAGGCTTCTTTCCTAGCCTAGGTATCTATCTAACTATTGCACTGGCCAGAAATCGAGCTGCATCAATTGATAAAACTTGGTTAGGATTTTAGTTGTATTGACAATTCTTTAAACAAAAACAAAATAATTATTGTAAAAGAATATGATTGTTACAAAAGAGTTGTAAAAGTCTAAGAGTTTTTTGGAGGGTTGTATAGATCATGAATTGAGAGTTTTTGGGTTCGAGTATGGAACGAGGAGAAAGAGTTGTTGGATTTATGCTAGCATGCCGCCTAATTGATACTCGAGCGTCCAAAGCAGAATCACTGTCACCCAACTCTCGCTCAAGCGACACACCTCTCGCATGCCTGTCGTTAGCCTGTCGCTCGAGCGACGGTGTTGTCCGAGAAATCTTAATTTGCATTCAATATTAAATTAGACTCATGTTTGACACAATAAATATTAGAATTGGAAAGTGATATTTAAATAAGAGTTGTAATCCTTTGAGTTATTTTTTCAACGCACTTTGAATCGATTCAATTGAATATCATGAGAGAATGTCATGATCATAAAAGTACTAAATGATGCTCGGGACAAGAGGAGACGCGCACCTAGGCCTGCAGATGAGATGTGCACATCCTCCTCTTCTAAGACCGACTGAAGCTGCCAAATTCATTGAGGTGTGTGCCCTAACTAAGCCTAGGCGTTCGTCCCAAGGTAAAATTGGAAAACATTATTTTTTTCTTTTCTTATTTTGGTATCTTTTGGAATGAAAATTTTTAGCATCCTATTTATATCAAGAGGTCGTCCAGAACAAAGGCAACCTAGTTTTCATCATAGAAGAGCAAGAAAATAAAGATCTTTACATTCAAGGAGCGAAAATGCATCATTTGGGGTCGAGTTTCAAGCTAGGAATCGAAGTTTTCACGTTCTTCTCAAGTTTCTTAGTCTCGGATGATGTTTCTCTTTCTTTTGTATAGTTGTCATATGGCAATGTTAGGCTAAATCCTTTATATATTGGATGGATGAAACCTTTGATTTATAGTTTTTAATACAAGACTTATTATTTCTTAGTTAATTTTCATATCTTATGTAGTTTGAATGTTTGACCATCATTTAGATAATTAATTGCTTATTTATATTGTTGGGAGACTCACAATAAATAGAACACTACGTTTTTAACACACGAATGATAAATATTAGGAATAATATTTATGGCGCGTGCAATTGTGTGAGATAATTATATGATTGAATGCGTGTTTTGTATATGAATTCAAACTAGAAATAAAATCGGGTCATATTAACGGATTGAACACAATAAATCTATTATTTATCAATAACTTTGTACGCTTGCAGGCTTTGTCCGAACACAACGTTTCCATTTTCAACGGTCCCAATAAAGCATGATCACCTTTTTAATCATACGTGGCTGCAGTGCAAGGAAGTGTCCACGTGTGTGCATTTACACGTGGCACAACACCACCATGCTATGTTCAAGAAACATCACGTATCGCTTGCCCACAACCCATAAAACATGCTATGGCCTATGGATGCCACTGATTTTCTTCCTTTTGATCATAACTAGTGTGGATCGTGCGTTGCACGATAACCGTTATAATTTTGTAAGAAATGTCACTATGCATGATGATTATAACATTCTTGGACAGATTTTTTTGGTACATGAATGAAACTTAAATTATGAGAACTAAATTAATCAACTTGTGACTATGAAAATTGGAGAAAGAAATCCAAGACGAATTTGAATCATTATGAAACAGGGTTACCTTATGCAGTGACAATTAGTGAGGAAGAGAAATATAGGTCAAACCAAACAGCTATAATCCAACTATGATGATCCTCGTAGATAGAAAAGGAATAGCAG